TACATTGTTAATATCATACAACATTTATTTGGATGTGATACGAAGCGCAACATTGGATTTCTAATGCTCTAAGGATAACACATTATTTGGATATGTCTACCTAAAATTAACCAAATGCTGAGTAAGAGCAACAGCAAATTTTTTGCGGAATATATGGTTAGGCTTGTTTTAGCATTAGAATAAGGACAACAAACTTAACTTAGCAAGACGTTTCGGGTTCGTTAGGACATTCGGTTTTGCAGTATAATGTTCCAGCTAATTCAAATGTGGTAGGTTATTTTTCCAATTGGGCCCCGTGTTACAAATCTTACTTGGCCTTCGAGCATCATGCATATGTTTGTACCTGGGATATAAGCTTTTGTTGAAAAATTTGTTTGAACGATTTACAATACGATGAATTCGCAGGCATCGAATAACAATTTAGTTAAATGTATTCAATAATATACCGATTTTGTGTAAATGTAAGGTGGTTTTGCATATAATAGAATTCATCAGTTTTCTTGCATTCCTTCGATACAGTTTTTAAATACCAGTGCAACCATTTTACCAAGGCGGATAAATCTGCAATATATTTTCCAAATTAATATAGGTATGGGAAAATAAAATGTTCACAAACTATACGTTGCAAGCCGCTAATCGGTTTGTATACAATGTAAAAGAAATTTCGTTTAATGCTTAGCTAGTAATGTAGAAAACAGCGTTTTGCAATCGAAAAAGGTGGTTAAGTCAAACATTGATTTATATGTGTTAAGGCTTGACTGCATTTCGAACATTGTGCAATGTGGTAAACATATAACATTGAAATTATTTGCAGACTTAAAGGTAGCATTAATGTTTTAAATATGAAGTTTTCCATAACCAAATAGATATATTGTACGCTTGCAGGAAAGCATCAATCTGTTAGCAAAACATCAGTAATACTTGTGAAGCATACTTTTGTGATTGTGTTTTTATAGGTGAATGACACACGCAATCAAGAAAATTGTATGTACACTTACCCACGGCTTGCACAGTTCAGTTGCATTAACACGACCACAACATGATCTGAAAACCGTCCAGTTGCCTACCCCGCAATTTCTAAAAACTTTGCAGCCTTATATCAATAAAGTTAGACTGAGTTCGATGAAGCCATGATTGCGTTTACTGTTCCAAAATTCGTGAATAGGTCCACCAACACGTCTGCACAAATTGCAGGCAGGTCCACAGATAGACAGCGAAAAACAGGGCAAACACCTAACTACCTACTAATTTACCGTCTGATTGATAGAAAGGACCAGGGTTTACTCCAATGAAAACCGCGGTCCAAATCGTGATTGCGCATTGCATTCGAAACACAGAACGAGTGTTATACAATTATTCTCTAAAGATGAGTAAAATTTGGTTGCGTCCTAATAGACTATGCAATTTGGGAGTCTAAATTTCCAACAGTCACACAGTTACACAGTTTCATGCGTACAGGCATAGATACTTATTACAAGTTAATCCCGATGGCGAGAGAGGGTGAAACCTAGTCACCGCCTCCTGCCGAGGTGTTGAAGGATCACGGCCAGCATAGTTATTTTTGGTGGCATCATCAGCTTACACCAACCGCATGCAGTATCGTGAACTAAATGCGTTCTGAACATCATTCCCACTCCTTACTCTCCATATCTTGCTATCAAATTACTGACTTTCTGCTAGGTGTACCATGTCCAATTTGGATAACTAACCATATATCCGCATTGCAAAAGTTTGAATCAAATAGAAGATCGAAGATATCGATGACCAGGAACAGCGGAAATATGCGGTCACCGTCCCTGTATTCAGAAACGTAGAAGGTAGTTTCCTTTCGCGTTAAGGTTCAATAGTATTGCAACTGCTAGCGGGCTCATACTCAGTAACATTACTTCACGCAGAATTAAAAAGCAGTGGCTATAGTTTATATTGGTTACATGGTACTCACGTTGTAAGTGGTCATTTTATGTCCAAGTATTTGAATTGATGACAATGATGTTCAATATGTCAAATATTACAAGGCACAGGCTTAAAGCCTTCACACAATATTTCAGATCCATTTCTAGATCCTCCTAGAGAGTACTCATGCTTTGATCAGGGAAAAGTTGAACACCTATAATCATTGTATGTCACGTAACTGCTGAAATTGAAGTACAGCCCTCATATCCGGTAAACGATTGCTTCATATGTTTACTTACGCAGATTGTGAATGAGACGTTAAAAGTGAGTTAGTGATCTTGCATTTAATATGAACCATTCTACAATTGTTCTAAGGGTAATCAAAAGTAAAACATGCAGATATATACGGTTGGCTGCATCTGGTTCCGGATTAGCCTGCCAATGTGACCAGACACAGCACACCTGCGCCTACAGAGGGACCATGGGTGGCTTGTGCTGCACCACCCACAGCTCCATCCACACACCCCATATCCAGTGTAAACCCGAAAGGAATAAGACCGGGAGGCATGTGGATGGGAGCCACGTTTCATCAACGGAGCCGTCCCACACTCCTTCACAGGCAAACACAAGCACACTGTATTTGGGGAATCAAGCGCACACAAGGCGGTGGCTGGACCGTAGTCCGCTCCACACTGAGTGCATGGAACCACTCTTCGAACCTAGCACGGCTACGAGGACCGTGCATCCCGTCCGCTCCAGCAACGACCAACTGTCTCCTGGAGCCAGTATGGACGAGGTAGTGGGTAAAAGACAGGTAGGCAAATTGTCAACATGCACATCAAGCGAATCCACGCAGCGCATATCACGCAACAGCCAATCACTTGAAACGACAAAATGAAATAAAATAAATCCAATAGTGCATATAGGTACGGTGGCATAATTCTTCGCTAAATTAGCATATGAAATAAGCTAGGTATCAATGAATCCGCGATAAGCAAAAAATGTCCAAAAGTTAATCAAAAATGCTACAAACGCAAAAAAATTTCCGAAGATAAGCGCAATTATCGTAGGCAACGTGGCCAGCTAATATAAGGTTATTCAGATAGGCAAAACAAACCAAATAAGCTGGAATAAAATTTAGGCAGCTTAAAGAGACCTAGTTTAAGTGTAATTTGGTTTAGCCCGACTGCGGTGAAGAAGCATAAAGAATGCAACATCAGCCTCAGCATGGGGCACTGTAGATATATATATATGTATGTACAGATATATATATATATATATGCATAGCATTCGTAGTCTTAATTATTGCACATCAAAACTGGTGCTAATAGGGACACATGTATCCGCATAGACACGCGGTCTTACAATTTACTGTCAAATTAGCACGTAGTTTTCTTTTCAGTCAATAACAAAATGTCATGTGGAATTCGCTGAAGCGAGCAGTCTGTTTAGCTGGTTGCAAGTAGCGAAGATAAATTTGCTAATGCCGGTGGAAAAGCATCAATTTTGGACTGTGGAATGGGAAACCTTTCGGCTAATCAACCAATTGCATAGGACCCGAGAGAACTGCAAGTTTCCCATACTGATACGAAAAAAGACAGCTTTCTACGGTAAGCTAATGCAATAGTTGACGACGGCTTTATTCCAAAACTCAACTTGTTTTACATAGCGATTAATTCTTTTGGAAATGCTTTTTTGACAAAACATAAATGCACTATGGACTAGAGTAACAACGACATGATAAGAGACTATCAACTCCCTTGTATAGTGTTAGATTATTTACCAAATATCGAAGGATGCGAGTTGCTAAAGTTGTCATATATGCTGAATTGTGTAAATCTTGCGTAAGAAAAAGACAGTCAACAAAGGTATGCGCAAGCTACAATTATTCCAAAGAGGCTTGCAGTAGACAAAGTGATCAATCTATTCGGATTTTAATTCATTTCAAATAGAGTATAATGTTTCTTTACACTCTGCCCGTCTTTTGATGATCACCTGAACATCGGTGAGAAATTGGCACAATTAACTTTCATGTGAAAGTTTTAAAACAGTTGGTCCTGTTCTATATCTTAAAGTATAAATTGAGAAGAAGAAATTTAGCAGATGCTGGCATTTTGTACCATACAATTAGTACCAATATCATAACCTGGAACTATTTTCTTTGATGCCATAATACAAAATACAGACAATCACGTTTATGCTTATTGTCATCGTTGCTGACAAATGCTAGGGCAAACGCACGTTGACGACTCTTTGCTTTTAGACGCATAAATCCGGCTTTATTCGGCTTATTGCGCCAGCTGCGGCAAAGTATCATGTCGTTATATGTGAGAATCGACAATAACTGGGATTAACTCGGTGTCCAGTCTCCAAATTTTGCTGGCCTATGGATGGCGCTAAAGGCTTAGGCCGACAAGTAGCGAAGTAGTGGGAATAAATAAGATCGCGCTGAACTCAGTTTATTGATCGTATCTTTTCTTTGGAATTGAAAGCCGGACCAGTTCTGCACGTTTTTGTGTTCCATCAGTGAGAAGCTGACAGTATAGAGGTATTAGCCAGATTAGTTTAGTTTATATTGAACGCTTAGTAAGCCCTTTATCTTTATAACACATGAGAAAGGAAGTCTCCCGTCCTATTCAAAATCAAATGTCACCCTTAATTAAGCATGAACATTTGTTCGATTAGCATCCTTGAAGAACAGCAAATATTGATTTCGTCTGCATATCGCTTTTAAGAAAGAAGCAGAGCAATCTCCCCACTACAATTGCTTGTAAGAATGAGCACAAATATCTCAGCCAGTACTGGGCCAAACGTACTGGCCATCGCCAACCCACTGGCTTGATGATATAAAGTTTGCTGGGATTGGAAACAGACAAGCTTCATCCAATGTAACAGGGATAATTTCAGTATTTCTGTCGGTATCGATAAACGGTAGTTTGCATTTTTATCAAGTGACAATCGTAATCAACATTTTTGAGGAAGGATCCATTAGCAAATAACAATTGCACATCCACTGAGCACAAAACATTGTGAGATAGGTTGACTTGATCCAGATCTTAGTTTCATCCGAATGGGCATTCTTGCCCGTGCAGAGTAAAATGCTGCCTAAATGTTATAAGGGTCCAAAGTAACGGGCAAATCTATTTATGCTGTGGGTGACATAACATCGGCAAAATGAATTTTCGTGGCATGCTTCCTGTGTGAGACGTTGACAAAATGTTCCGCTGTGATTTTTTGGGCCCTTGCTTCCCTGATTCTGTAAGTAAGCGACTATAGGATGTAAGAATAGTCTCTCAACTGTCGGATTGTAGTACCTTAGCCTCATTCGGGCTTTCTTATCCAATCGAGGTTTGATACCTATTTTCGTCGTTTAGGAAGTTTAATCTCTTTTTGAAAGTAATTTTGCTTGTTCATGACCATTATTTCTGAAACATTAACCGTAGCTACAATTACCACTTCCTCATTATTCAGTTTACGTTGCGCTTATAAATGTGAGCTTTTGAGCGTGCACTTTTCGGTTACTGGTACTACAATATCATCGTTAGCTATGTCGGTCAGCTTATTTCCAAACCAAATTAAAGCACCACGGTTGGTTGACTGAAGTTCGGCTATATGGTCGAAATTTTTGCCAAAATATTATTAAACAAGCAGTTGTTCGGCTTAGGGTGAGCAACTTTATAATCGGTCCGCGAAGCCAGATCAGGCGTTTCTGATCATCAAGTTTTACAACAGACACATGCAAGACTTACTTAATTAGCTCATGTGTAACAGTTTAGTCAAGCGTTCCAACTTTGAGGAACGATTACAACATTACTCGCTGAAGTTAGCAAATACCCTTCTGACGATTATTGATTGCGAAAGCAGCCAGCACACATTGGTGACCGGTCATCGAGGTAATCCCTCGATGACGCTCCGGATATCGTGGCGGCACAAATATAACGGGTTCGTACTTTGCCGAAGCTGGCGTAATAAGCCGAATAAAAACGGATTTATTCGCCCAAAACAATGATTTGTCAACCTGCGGTTGCCGTGTTCCTAGTGATAGTAATAACGATCATAGACATAAATGTGCTTGTTTTCAGTTTGTCATATGGCATCAATAACAATGTTACCCGGTTATGATATTGGTATTGATACGATAATACGAAATGCTAGCATCTGCCATTGCTCGACTTCTTAATGCGTGTGATAAAATTTAAAGAAATCAGTATCGCAGTATGTATATCTCAATCAAACCGTTCACTTAAATTAATGTAAAAATATATATGGATGCTAAAACAACCTTAGCCAGTCTGCCTTTTATTGTTAAAAATGCACTGTTTGGTCATTCCCTATTAAGGATACTCACTTGCACTGAGACTACCCTGCATCTTCTGCATCGAAACCGGGTTAATCGTGGATTTCACTTCTAGCCAGCCGCTTGTGTGTTTTCACATAATATATGACTTAGAGCAGATGCTTTATTTTCAGCCGTCGCCACTGTTGTTTAACACATTTTCTCTAAAGACTGCAACTTTGAAATTTTGAGTTTCAATTCCTGCTGGTTTTGCTTTTATAAACCACAAACGCTGTAGTCATATCCCGGTAATTGGGTAGAATTCTACACTATATCACCCAAAATCCATCATGCTTCATCGAATGTGGTCTCGAGTCAAGGAACATTTTTAAATGGAGTTGGAAGAAACACTTTTGAAATTAACCTTTTGCAACTAACCTTTGAAACTAACCTAACCTATACATGTTACTTTGTTCTCATTGGTAGCGCTATTGGTATAGCACAGCTTCCACTTATAAGTAACAGCAACCTTTGCTCGCTTCTTGCTTAGTTTATTGATCATATTGGTCTTAAGAAAAGAAAGAAAGAAGCGTGCTTTCATCGTAATTAGAATACCGAGTTATTATGCTCGACGACTATATTTGAGAAGAGTAGTAGAAGGGGTTAATTGCTATTGGTAAAACCCATCACATATAGGTTCAAACAGCTAACCATTAAAAGCACGGATAAGCTCACTTTCAATCTCCAACTGTACTGATTTAAAAAGCGCATATAGTATTTGCATGAGCTGTGGAACAAATTTCTAGATGTAGCTCTTATTTCAAAGATGTGGTAAACAATCTGATCATTTTAAAATTTTGAGACCTGCGTCGCTGCTTTCTTCTGAGGTGTTAAAAAGTTTTGTATGATCTGATGCACAAATCTTGTTAAATTCTGATTTCCTTATTTGCCTGCTTACGAACTGAGTTTTGTTTTCAAGCAGTTCATCATTTGATTAAACTTCCTTCACATCTGTTGTTGACGAAACTAAATTTATAAACGTGCTGCGCAGGCAGCTGTTAGAATAAATTTCGCGTGTGTCAATTCTTTGTTAACTTTCATGTGTATTGTTATCCCATTATATTCAAGCACATACGCAGGAGTAGTTTAATTATGAAAAGGAATTTTTCTACTTTTTGACGGGTTGACTCAAACCAAGCATTTAGCCCCAGCCAACGGTGAGGAGCATGGTGTGTTCCAGGAACGAACACTAGTGACGTGTTCGGATGAAACGAATGGTCTCCGAGCTCTTTTCCTCGAATGTGAACTATTTGCGATTTGAAACCTGCTGCATATGTTCTATTAATTTGCTTCATAAACCCTACATTTGAGATATATATAAATATATATATATATATATAATGGTCGGGTATTCAAATATATTTGTATAGGAGCCTATTGTATACCATCGAATCGCGTGTAGTTTTGTGCACAACATTCATGGATGATCGTCCTTTATCGCCTATTTAAGTTTAAATACTGTGATCTAAAACAGTATTCAGGTGTTCACAAATATTTTCTTGCGGAAGAGCGTGGCTCACATTCTTAATTGTCATGCTAATTTTATTTGAAATGTAGCTATTTTAGAAACATTAAGTTTGGGCAGCTTTTAAATTGCCATGTATTTGCTATAATATGACGCAGGTGATATGCCTCGGTTATTTATGTTCGCTTCAAGAACGGGAGCTGCAATTTGATTAAGCAGTTTTGTCTCAGAATCTTAGCAACCGATGTTATATGGCGTCATAATAAAGTAAGCGTATATTGTTTAAAGTTATCGCGTCATAATTGTAGATATTTTTAAACAGTATAGGGTCGCAATACAAAGGATTGTGCAATGATTAGTTTAGGTGCTTGTTACGAACTAAGTAAGTCACTGGTTACCAAGCAAAGCCTCCGGCAGAGTCTCATACCTAGAGGCAAATTGAGAGTACCTAACCAAAATGCTTGAGCAGAGGTCAGTATGACGACAAGTTTGATCGTTGATCAGCTTGTGCTAATAAAGAGATTAAACAAGAAGATATTGTGAGCACAGCGATGGTTCAGCTATTTGGATGGCGGTTGCTTCCGCACTGATGAGCATCCGTAACTTCAAGGCTTTGATTAGCTAATAAGAACCAACTGAACTAAAACAAACGCATTCTAAAGGTTAACTCAGTGAAACATTAGGAGAGATGAAAGAAAATATTTCCTCTTCTTCACCAAAAATTTAAGGGATGAGCTGTTCGACCATATTCGCATTCAACTTGATGGATAACGCCAAAAGATTTCAGGTTTGGCAGAATGTCTTTGTTGCTCATAAAGTTTAGCTTGTTCGTGGCGAGGACACTTCGCAACTTCGCGGCCGGAAAAGTGTACCTTATTAATCGTATCCATTTTCTTGCTATAAATCAGCATCCGTATTACCTGCAAAACCAAAATGCATGAAGAGAGCTTTACTTACTATCATTTACTCAACGTTCGGTATATTTGTGAGCTGCCAGGTGAAGTCTACTTTTTTGCCCGTTTGCAAGTACACCAATCATATGAAGGTAAACAGTTTTTTCTAGTGAGATTTTTACTGTTATTACTCCTGCGTGTTATGACCTTATAAACTTTTTAAGAAAATGATAATTCCTTTGACAATTAAATAATGTCACAGCGTGACATTTATTGCACTGATATTCACCAGTAACACGTCATAACATTACGCTTCAGTGCCATTCGAATATGTCGCGGAAGGAAATGAGTTTGGTGAGTTAAGCCACAGCTAGTTTGGCTGAGTCATTTCACCTACGTACTACAAACTAAGTTCATCTAATTAAAACTAGCTTAACACTTTGACGAAAACTAGACAGTGTGTGCTACGTGGGAAGATACCACGGCAATTTATATGGTGCTGATGAGACAATACGAAATGATCAGATATCCAAGCTTCAATTTTTGCATTGCCATGTTCCATCTAAGGAAGATATCTGTTTCAAAAAATAATGCGTTTATGTCTCATCACCAGCATAAGAACAGTCTATACTGTGTACAAACCGCGGTAACTGATCTCTAAATATTTTGACATCTACATTCATTGCACAACTGCTAAGCATCTATTTCGCCTCCATCCTACTTCACTAGAATTTATAGTGACCTACCACATGGCTGAAAGTGAAGCAATGCACAGATACAATTTGACCATAGAACAACTTTGCAAATCTGTAAGTGGTTGTGAGGCTTTGTGAGTATTATACAATAAAAGCTGATTTATTTTTAGGCGCTTAATTTACTGTAAAAAAGTTTAATTTCACTTTGCTATAAAAATGAAAAAATTATTACTCACTTTGTTCTCTTACCTGCAGCTTGCTAATGACCCTCGCTGGTTACTTAGTGAATGTGAACTCAGAGATGTGAAGGACGTTTATGCAACGGTTGCTGTTACAATACAGTCAAGAGGGGCTTCCATATGGGAACTGCAGATTCATCTTATGTTCATATCGAATGCGCAAAACCGTGAACGGTGCGATTTCAATGTGGCAGTCAAGTCAATTGCTAAAGGTTATTAAGCAGAACATCAAAGGTGCGTCGTACGGTGATGTACAAATCCTACCGAATGACAAAGCGTAAAGAAAACTGCCATCGAGCTTCACTGTTAATGTTTTGCTCCAAAACACGATGTGTGCAACCGCATTAATTTGAACGAAATTATACCTATGGAGTATGTCCTGTATTTTTAAATACACAAAAATGAAACACAAGCACAGTGCCTTGCAACTGTGAAACCAGGTGCCGATGTAGCTAACTGTAGCATTTGCAATTTTTGCACCCAGGTTTTTGATACAACGCCTTCTCCCAGCAATTCACACTTAGATTGCAGTCGAAATAACCGTTTGAGTTTTCCTGTTTCTCCGTAGGACAACACGGCTTGTCCAAAACGCATTCAAATTGCATGCTGTTTATGCCTGCGCACACGAATGCGTCGCGTTCGTTTTGACGTTTGTTAAAACAACCAAAGCCGTTCGGAAATATTCATACTACAGTGTAATTATGGTTGTTGAACTCAGGCATATGCAGACCAATAGCACTTTTGGAGGCATTTAGTAATCAGGGAGTAAACTGAAGCTAGGCCCATACAAATTAAGTGATATTCGCGTGGTCACATTCGAATTGTTGGTGGCTGAGGCATCACTATTCGGACGGAGGACATCCACTTGTCTAGATGTGCAGCTGTCAGCATTGGAAAGTGAAGCAGTGTTAGGGCGCGTCTTGGCTTGCTCTTATTAGTACGAACTACAAAGCCCGCGTCGTAGTTGCATGACGAAGTTATCACAGTTCCGGAATCAAGACGAGCACTGGCGTGGCAGTAATATATCCGGATCACAGCTGCAACGCATAGTTGAATAGGGAGCGTGATCAATCCCCTTGTGAAAAAAGTCAAAACAGCCTCACAAAGAGAACTTGAGCGAGTAAACGAAATGTTCGTTTGCGGCGGGGGAACGGGTGTAGCGAGTAGTACCGGAGGACCAGAGTTGTATTGTTGGTAGTCCGAAATTCTCTAAGCAGCAGGCCAATTACTTATCATTTTTGATACATTTTAAGCTATTTCCACCAGGCTATCTTCCTCGCTTATTAACGCAGTGTGAGCTAACGTTAAGCTTGGAATCATGTTGTCAATGCCATAAAGTGGGGAACGATATCCAGCGTCACGAAATATCTGC